TGTGTGTGTGTGTGTGTGTGTGTGTGTGTGTGTGTGTGTGTGTGTGTATGTGGTAGGTGTTATACCTGTATGCATGTCTATGCACTATATGTGTGCAATGTCTGTGGAGGCCAAAATGGTGACAGATCCCCTAGGACTGGAAATTACAGATGGTTGTGAGCTGCTGTGTGGATATTGGGAACAGAACCTGAGTCCTCTATAAGAGTAGCCAGTGTCCTTAACTACTGAGCCATCTCTCTAGCCTACTATAATTTTTAAAATGGTGTTATGAAGTTGGGAAAATTTGTTTAAGTCCTAAAGGTAATTGCCTTTTCCCAGAAAAGCTAACGATATGGGTAGAAATGATTTGAAGTTCTGCTCATCATTAAATCTGTAAAGCTTATATAAAGCACCTGAACCTGAAATGGTTGCAAAGGCAGATTAATGAATAAGAGCCTCACCAAATCAAACCAAGAGATTTTTGAAGTGAAGCAAAAGCCATTCAAACAAAAACCTGGTATATTGACTAAACTCAATAAGAGATCTTTCAAAAAGAACCTGTAATTGGCATCAAAATTGATTAAACATAGCCATTTTCATGGCCAATGGAAATGATACACTATGTATAGAAATGCCAGTATTTGATTAGAGAACATATTTCTGAAAAGTGAAAACAGGAAGATTGAAACAGTTCCTTAATGCTTCTATTATTAGATCTTTTGTCCGTGTTTCTTCAAGAGACATGCTTATATTTGAGAGTGAACATTTTAAGAAATGTAATTGTTCATTTCTCCAGTCCTACTCTTGAGAAGAGCTGCTGGTGGACATACTACAGGATTTCCTACTCTGTGTGAGGTTGCCCAGGAACTTTACAAATGTTCCAATGTGCCTGACACCGAGACAGCCCCAAATGATGCTTCCCTTAAGTGACTATGTGAAGCAGCTCTGAGAACTCAGTCCAGCTGAGTGACAGCACCCTGGTGGAGAGACAGACCTCTCAACTCTTGGAAAACCTAGGTACATTAAAGAATTGAGAACTCCCAGTTTCAAGACTATACCTTAAGCCTTGAGGACTAAGCTCTTGACATCTCCCTTTTGAACCAGCCATGCTTCTAACTCACATATTTCCCTTAACACTTGGTAGGCAAGAGTTTTCTTTCCCCAGTCCACTTTTTCTGTAAATACACAAAGTAATCTAATGCCTGGTTTTACCACTAAGTCCCATTCGTGTGTATCCTTCTGTTCCCAGCAAAAGCGCACCTTTTTAAGGTTAGAGCTGGGATCAGCATGGTTCTGCAGCCTTTGCCTGCACCGTCTTCAGGGAGCTCGCATTGCCCATGTCTGTTTCATTAGCAGTATTTGTTCTCATCATTCACATATATACTACCTTCACAGTGGGACACAACAACTCACCACAAATACAGAGAATGATACCATGAGCATTAACCATGCGATCCTGTCCTTCTAGAATGTGATATTCAGATCTAAGCTACACTTCCATCTAAAAATTCAAAGCATAATTCCATTATGCCTGTGCCTCATGTCAGATCTGTTTATGGGACCTTGATTTGTCATCCTATCACATAATCCTTTTACCTATCTTGATTTAAAACAGAAATCCATAGCAGTTGGTGAATGTCAAATTCAGATTCCATCAGTTTTTTTCTTAATTTTCAGATTCTGTTTTCTTCTGAGAACCTGGGGTTTCCATAATCTGTTCAATAGGTTGGCATTGTTTTTCTTCAAGTAATATTTATGACCTGACTTACAAAATAAATACTTTCTGTCAGGGATTAGCTGAGTAGTGTAACATAATCAAAGTCTTAGATTCAATCTCAAGCATTCAAAAAAAAACAAGGCAAAAATGTTATTCTCTATTCTCATTAGAAGGTCGTTGAAGAGCCTCCTGATCATCTTATGGGGTGCGCTGACTCAGTCCCTCAACAACTGAAGTGTGTAGGCTGAGCCATATTCAGTTGTTCCTTTTGTAGATCAAATGGCAGGTAATGACACATTTATATGATCCAGTGTATGCCATCTAACCTATATGATAGAGCAGGAAGCTGAAGCACAGAAGCTACAAGACTCTCCCATGATGGCAGGAGTAGGACTGGAGTCTGACTGACCTCCTTAAGCTCCATTCTCCAACAACTGGCTTCAGTGTTTCTGTGCTCTTAGGTCTCAGAGCAGAGAAGCACTCTGAATGACACTGGCATAGCTGGAAGTCACTGGTTCTGCTGGTAGACCAGAGGCTGGGTGTATTTTCCCAAACATTCTCTGCGAGACTCTGTAATTTCTTTATCAGCAGAGTGAGACACAGAGTTTCAGCTTCTTCAGTTTCTTATACTCACCTATAATTTTTACTGCACTGTTAGTCTCACTAGGATTTTATTAATATTAAAGCTTGCCAAAGCATCCTTGAAAAGTTGACATTTAATAACTAGAGAAAATATACCCTAATAAGTTTTAAAAAGTAATCCAATGGATCTATAAAATGCACAGCATTTTATTTTCAACCATCAAAAACAGTCAGAAAACTTCCTGATATCTAACAGTACTGAGCAGAGCCTGGGGAATCGTCCAAGCCATGCTGTCAATATTGTGCACTCAGAGTGAAGGGCAGTCATTTGAGGAAAAGAATTCATAAGGAGACCTAAAATTTATTTATCAGAACTATGAATCTGGAATAGTCACCTGTCTGACACTTCATCTTAGGGTGTACAAAGCCATCAGTTGCAGAGCAAGCCATTGGCATTTCCTCTCTACCTAAAGTCTTTCTAGCTCTTGCAGAGAAATAGCTTACAAAACCTCTTTCAATTACAATATAACTATGCTTGCATCTATAAAACCATTTTGAGAATGGAACAAACTATTCTTAGTATGGATTGATTTTCCTAACTCGTTTGCTTCTTGGGGTATTTTAAAATCAAAACCATGGAAATATTAAATATTAATAAAACCTTGTAAAAACCCTCACTTCAGTTTTTAAGAAAATATTTCAGTCAAATGCATTTAACTAAAACATTTATCTGCAGATACCTTTCTTTATTTTTATTCAAACTTTCAGTTGATTGATTTTTAGTGATGGATGAAACACTAAATGTCCCCTGACTTAGAGCCTTCTCTTTTTCCATCATAAATTGACAGTTTTGTGGATCCTTTGTGCTGCAGCATTCAAAACTGCCTTTTTAAGAAGTAACGAAAAAATAGTATTTGCTACAGTCAGCAGATGGTTGTCACATTTTGTTTTCAGCACGCTTTACCACTTAATTTTGTTTTGTTGCAGCATCAGAGGCTGCCAGTCAAGCATCTGCTATAGCTTATGGCCCAGGACTGGAGCCACCACAATGGCACATGTTCAGAACAGCACTAATCTAAAATAAATGTTTAATAAGCTAGCCATAAAAGCACCTGGATTTTTATTCTTTAAATTTCACAAAATTGCATGAGAGATTTGGAGGTTGGAAACAATTCTACATAAGGTTGACTTGTGCATTTTTGTAGTTAAGTGTATGAAAAATAATGCTTTTTTTTTCTTTTGTGAATTCCAGCTCACCAAGGTGCTGTACAAGACCAGCCATACCAGCTGCCAGTGGAAATCGATCCTCTCATAGGTCTGTCACTTCTTTCTCTCTTTGCGATTCATTAAGCTCTGTATGGTGGCCCTGAAGTGTAGATTACAGTTGTTTTTCACTTGCTGGTTGCTGGGAATGGAATTTTCCTGATAAACCATTTGCATGCAAATTGGAATGCAATGAGCTGTGGCTATGCTGGTATTTCATCAACTCCCCCTCGTTGGTTTGCCTAATTTGAACAGGCCTAGGACGCGTGTCACTGAAAATTAATATGGATGCTGTAATAATGTGTGATTGAGAATGCACATGAAGTACTGTCAGGGTAATATTGGATCTTTTCATCACTCAGACTTGTTGATGAGCAGGAGCGAGGTGCGTTATGATGAGCTGGTGCAGATGTGATGTGATGGAGCTTCTTTGCTAGGGACATTTTCATAATAACAGTGGGGTTCTTAGCGGCACTGTGTTGTGAAAATAAAACTGTAATGCCAGGGTCTCATCATTAAAGGAGATCAATCCTTTCTTCCTGGGCTCTGTTCAGTCAGAGGGGATTAATGTGCAATCGCAGAGCAGTTTCGAAGTTGAAATATATTACCCAGCCAATAGTAGTGTTAAGATATTTGTATTCATTTTCCTAGAGTCCTGCAGCCAATAAATTGCCATTGGAGGTTAAATTTGTTGAGAGAGAAAAAAAAATAGGAGACTAGTAAGAGCCTCTGGGAAGGAGGAGAGCATCTGCAGCAGATGACTTGGACATTTTAATTGCTGTTATGGTTTGAGTCAGCTGAAATCTCTAGTTAGCATTTGTCATTCTTATGCATTGGGATCTCAAATGTGGTGTCACTAAAAAGGTTAAGCCTTGATAACTTTTAAAATTACAAAAAAAAAAAAAAGAAGAAGAAGAAAAGAAAAAGAAAAACTTAATTGCCTTACCATGGGGGTAAGCAACCAGCATGAATATTTGGCCTGTAATTTTGGCAAATTTACCCTGAACAAATAAATTCATTAAAATGTTACTGTTTTACATATAAATTTTTCATATGAATGAGCACATTTATTATTTTAAAATCTACAATGTTCCCTGTTTTATATTACCCTCTTTTTCATTACAGCCTTTGCCACAGTAGAATATTAAATGATTTTCATTCACTAAATGGTTTTCTACCTAGGATAGATGAACAAAACCTTCAGTTCAAAACCAATTCATTAATCGTTTCCCTAGTAACTACTATTCTGAATTTCATTTTGTTCTCTTAATTCCATTTTGCTTTAAAAAGATACTATTTGCTACTTGTCAAAAATAACAAAGCTAAAAATGCTCACTGTATAGTTTTAAAATCAGGAAAATAAAGCCCATTTGGTAAGACATGTAAAACACTCTCTGAATTATAGATTTACCGTTTGCTTTAAAACATGGCAATGAATATTCTGTAATATAATTAAGCAAATTTAGCCAGTGTGGGCAAAGTTTCTTGGTAAAAGGCTAATACTAAATATTTCAGGCTTTGTGCATCTTAAGGTTTCAGACACAATTAACTCTTTTCAGTACAAAAGCCACCACGAACAATGTATAAACAAAAGTGTGTGGCTGCTTTTCAGTAAAGCTTCATATTTAAAGATGCCATGGGTCAGATTTAGCCTGCAGGAAATGGTTTGCCCTGGGAGCTTCCAGATTGCTGACTACCAAACAGCCCCACCCCCACTAAAGTAACTATCTTATGTAGCTAGCCCAGGCTGGCATCATCGTTCAGTATAGGACCCAGGATGACTGCTGATCCTTCTGCTGCTTCTAGTTTCTAAATGCTGAGATTTCCCAACAGCACCACCAGCCAAGATCAATCCCAGGGCTGCATACATACTAGGCAAGGACACTACCAACTGAACACAACCCCAGCTTCCTTCTCATTAATCATAAAACTAATACAGAAAAGTTTTTATCATAAGCCCAGATACTTAAAATGTTTAGCATAGTAAAAACATTTGTAATAGTATAAACATTTGCAATATATCCAGTGGAATCGCAATATAAAAATGAACTGATATTCAACATTTTTTATTTTTAAAAATACATATGAAAACCCTCAACAGTTGGAAATTTCATCAAATTTTTTTCACTTTGGATTTATAACCTATTTTCTAATAGTTTTACCTTAATTTTTAAAACTTGATTACTCTATTACATGTTTCAGCCATAAATATATGTATGGAAAGTTAAACATGTGTTTATAAACCTAATTTTTTCTATGCACTCAAGGCTCAATTTTTTTTACTTCATAAAAATTGGAAATACATAAAAATATCACATACCAAAATTAAAATCCTAAATTGATTATATTGACTAATCTTTAAAATTTTTTCTTCATCTTGGTTTTTGTGTTAAAGTCTCACTCTATAGCCCAGATTAACCTAGAAAGCATTATATAGCCCGATCTGCCTTGAGCTCAAGGTCTTCCTGCATCAGCCACCTGAGTACCAGGACCCCAGATGTGCACTGCCACTCCCCACTTTCTTACACGACTTATACTTGTAATGAATTAGAATATCGACCTTTTAGTGTGGCACTGAAAACCAGCACATGCTCCTCCACTGAGGTGCATCCCAGCCCTGTAATAAACTTAAACAGTAAATAAGTGTTCAGTCAACTAGATGGGTGTTTCCCCTTCTAATAGCTCATGTGTTGATGCTCTAAGGTGTGTTCAGGAGAGCCATTCCTATTATTTTAGTTTTATAGCTGAGGAATGTTATGTAAGAAAGTAGATGGGAAAGGGAAATGTTTTAATAATGCCATACAGGTCTTTGAACTCTTTCTAATATATAGCAAAATTCATGTAGTAAATTATTAAAAAGTACCTTATGGTCTAAAATTAGGTTTTCTTTCATTTTCACAGTGCTGCTGAAACTTATTTTTAATGATTTGTTAATTGGCAGTGTGATTAGATCCCCATTTCAGTTTCTCAAGGCCATCTGACCTACAAAATGGTGACACCTAGGCACTCACTTTCTAGTGTCATCAATATTTTCATTGTTCCAGAGCCTCCCAGGAGATTTTAATCCCCAGGGATAAAGAACCATAGTAAAATTATGCATGGAAGAGTATATCACGTGGTTTCGTATAAAACAAAAGGAGGAATAAGAAAGGAAAACTCACAGGAGAATTCTCAAGCAAATCAGTTTCAGACAAGAGACTATATGGAAGTTGAGGAACAAGAAATTGATTCCCATAAAACCATCTGTGCCTGTATCCCATGGAGAGTCTTAGACTCCCAGAGGTAGTCATGCCCCAGTTTAGATACTACGTATCTAATCAAATGTACCAATTTTTATTGAATAGAAGTAGTGTAGGATTGAATCACAAAGTAAGTTTACTAACAAAAACAGTGGAATAATTTGAAGGCTCTTATAAAGTGGATAGGATAGACAGACAAAGAGATGGTCAAACGGGCTGACAAATGGATGGATGGACAGGTGGCTGGATGAGGAAGTTTTTAGGATTAAACTTTAAGCAACAGTTCACTTAGAGAGGAGTTTGTCTGCTGAGTGAGTGGTACACACCTGTAGTTTCAGCACTCAGGAAATGGGCAGGATGATCCTCAGTTCAAGGCATTCCTAAACAGAGAGAGACCTTTTCTCAAAACCCCAAATCCAAGGCAAACAAAAACTAGTTAATTTGTATGCTGAAGGGACATCAGCCTTTACTCAGGGGTGCTGCAATTCCTCAACTCATAATTATGTGCATGTCCAGCCTCTCCCCAAATTAGTGAGAATTAATTGTCCAGGAGCAAAAGTCATATAATTACTGGCAAGAAGAGACATTTGTAAAGGTTCTGCATATAGTGAAGTGTGGTGACAACTGGTGTAGGAAGCACCACACATGTTGTTTCCCTAGGTGTCTTGGACAATCCGTGCCTCGCAGTTCCTCTGCAGTAGGCATTTTCTCTGTGTGTGGTTCACTGTCCCTTATCTGTCAGCAACTTCCTTTGTTTGAGAAGAAAACTGATCCCCACCTGGAGTCTTCCCATTTTACTGTTGCTGTTACTTCTTACCCCATTAGCCTTCCAAAGAACATTCAGTTACCTGCTGATTTTAAATGGGTAAGTCGTGCTAACACACATTAGCAGGACTCTGTATGTAAACATGCACATGGGGTATGTTCTTTTTATGTTCAGGATAGTTCAGGCATCAGTGATTCTCAGCACAGCCCTGAGAGTATTTTAAATGCTTTGCCTTCTTGTTTATTTATTTTGGGAGGCCTTATATTAAGCTCCCACGTTATTTAGATATCATACATAATGACTAAAAAATAGGTATCTCTGAATATTTCTCAGTATAGTTTCTTCCCTTAAAAAGCTGAAAATTGTCATAAAGAACTTAGAAACTAGACACAAGGATTTGCTTTGACCATTCCATTCAATTTCTGGAGCAAGCTGCTTTCATGGTGTACAAACCCTTATTTGTAATGGAAAGTCACTAAAGAACAAAGGTTCTGTTTGGTTGGCCTCAAAATATGTTTTAAAAAGAAAGGAGGGAGGGGAGGGGAGTGGAAGGAAGGGAAGGGAAGAAGGGAAGGGAAAGGAAAAGGGAAGGGAAGAAAAAGGGAGGGGAGAGAAGGGGAGAAGGGAAGGGAGAGGAGGGAAGGGAAGGGAAGGAAAGGAGGGAAGGGAAAAAGCAAGTGTCTTGTCTCAGGGAAATGGCTCTGACAGTGGCAGATCCATGCTCTCCCCATTGTTTGGTGTCACTGCATGCCTGACCTGAGCCCTGAGCCAATCCCATCTGAGGAACTCCAGCATTTGGAGCATGCTGGCAGGCTGTCTCATCCTGTCGCTTAAGTCAAGCCTAAGAATGTGGCAGTGTGCTGTGCTTTGACTTCTTCATTTACAAGGGTCTTGAATGGACTCTCATTCTTGCCTCTGCTTACACGTGAGTGCAGCTGTAAACAGGGGGAGTAGGAGCTCCCTTCTAGTCAAATTAAAGACCCGTAAAAGCCAGAGTAGTACAAGATGCTACAGTATTTCAAATATATGACATTTAAATCCTAATATCTCTCCCTGTGACAAAATGTTAAAGGTAATAGATTGTTACAACATGAATCCATCCTCGCGACAATAGACATAATGAGATTGTCAGAAACAACCCCAACTGTGATGGGATCTAGAGGCTGTAATCTACTTGTTCTGCCCAAGAGCTAGAAAGCATGTTGTGTGGGTTGTTTGCAGCTTTTAAAATGGTAGTATCCTATTTTTTCTCTAAGTAAAACATTGTTACTGAGATATTAAATATAACAGCTTACATTCTTCCAGTATTATATATATTTCCCCATTTGTCTTTTCAAATACTTTACGTAAAGGTCAAGTATTCTTCTGGATTCTATCTCCGTCCTCTCCCCCAACCTACAGTGTGACAGCACTGTAGGATTTCTTTGCCTATATGTATTTAGTAGTTTTCTTTTTTCCTTCTTCTCCCTATGTTCTCACAGCCTGCGGCACAGGGACGCACAGGAGGCAGGTAACTGACCTCCTGGACCAGAGCATCCAAGTGCATTCCCAATGCTTCGTCATCACTTCTGACAACCGCTACATTCTCGTCTGTGGCTTCTGGGATAAGAGTTTCCGGGTCTATTCCACAGATACAGGTAATTTTTATTTCTTAACTTAGCATCAAGAATGCCTTCTCATTAATCCCCAAAATAAAGAGGATGCTTCCCTTTTAAGAAACAGTTGGCTAGATCATATGTTACCGACTTAGCTTCAGTGTATTTTCAAGAGGCAGTTTTTCAATAGTTTTGTCTCCCAAGCACATGCTTAAAGAATAAGTAATTCTTTGCTGCAGGAAAAGCCATGGATGTAAATACCACCATGTGTATACACAGAATTTTAAGGCAAGTGCACAAACACAGAAGTATACTTTTAAATAATTTTCAATTATTTTTAATTATTTAAAAGGTTTTCTTGTGCCACCTCATTCCCCAAAGACCAATCAGTTTAAAAGTCACACTGTTCTGCCAATTATATTGTGCCTAGTCACTGTTTCTCTGTTCTACCCCCTAGACCGTATAAAAGCTATTCTTAGGGTTCTCTTCTTGCTTGCATGCGAGGGAACCCCAGTATACTGGAATCATTAAACCTCATGCTGGTTGCATCAACAACAACAACAAAAAAAAAAGGTTTTCTTTTCCATAGTTGAAAGACATGTGAAGTCTATCTTTTCAGAATAGATACCTATCTTTCCCTATTCTGCACAGAATCTTGCTGAAAGCTGCACTCTGAAGAGTAGCTGACTACTGATTTAGTATGTGGCAGGTATACTTCTTAGAATATAAAGCTTACACCTGCATATGTACTTGTATGGCCCTCCCAGAAGGGCAAACCAAGTCAATTCAGTATTATTATAGCAGATACAGTCCAAAGAATTTTTACATGTCAGAAATTCAAACTACTGGTAAATTTAATATCATATCTTTAAGGCATGTTAGGAACTGTCAAAAAAGAAGATACATTTAAAGATTAGTTGAATATTTATTTCACTGTAACTAATCCATAGGACTGTGACATGGATTGTTGTTTAGTTTGTTTTGACTTTTTGGTGCTGCTGAGCACACTCTAGTCCACTGTTAGACACCTAGTCCCTGGAAGAATATATTTCAAATGGAAGAAGAAAATGCACATATCTTGATTAAATGCTGTGAGAGTGGGAAATTTTATTAAATTGAAATTTCTAATTAAGTGTTTTATGGTACACTTACAGGCTTGCTAATAATGTTTCTGAAATGCATGTCCTTGCCCTTTTCTTAATAAGTAGGTGCACTGAACAGTGATGGTTCTCGTGGAGTTTAATGCATGTCTGTGAGACTGTTGTAACAACTGAGAACAGGGGGAGAGTACTCTTTTCAGCAGAAATATTTATAAATCAGCCCTAAAAATTATTTGTAGAAATTGTTATTTTTTTTAAGAAATTGATTTCCAAAAGAGAAAAAAGAAGCTGATTTCTATTTTCTTATAGCTCGTTTCACTGAAGGTTCATGAACACAGACATTAACACTGAGCCTTTCTGAGTAGCTGAGCATCCCTAGATATCTGTCTGTGAGAGGGACTATTTTTAATTAAAATTCCACCAACATTATGTAAATTGCAGAGTGAATTGGTGTTTTCTAAACCTGTACTTCTTTATTATACTGGATCTTCTATTTTGATAATCTAATTAAAATTTATCCTTTTCATTATGACAAAAAGAGCATTAGCATCATTTGATACACTCTCTGTCTTTACTAACTCCCAGGTTAAACTTGATTCATCCTATCGTAAGTTTTTCTTAGTAGTCTTTTAGACTGCTTATTGTTCTCATTTTAAAAGTTAATCTTTTAATTTTAAACTTTAAATAATTTTAAATTTTGTACAGTAAGTTCATCTACTTTTTTCGCTTGTAGTTTTTAAGTTTTGACCATGCGTGGAATTAAGTTACTGCCTCACAGACTATCTTGGTACAGAACATCTCCATGACCCTCAGTCACCAGGTCATGTCATGTCACCTGCTGGATATCACCTTCTTCTCACACCCTTAAGTCCTCCCTACCAGTGCATACTTCAGATCTGCAGGGTTGGCCTTTCCTGGCATATGTGTGGAGTCATAAATTATATCAGTCTCCATTTTGGCATTTGGAAGCTTTTGGATTCACTGACATTCCCTGTTGTTTCATTATGAATGCCTATGTATATAAGGTCAATCTAGCTGGACTTCCATGCAGTACCAGTAACTCACAGAATTCCTGGGTTCACTTTGATTTTAGAATTTGCAAAATTCTTTGGCATACATGTTATTGCTATGAAGTGGACAGGGTCCTTGTCCCATATTGTAGATAACAGAACTGAGGTCTGGAGAGGTAAGTGACCTATTGAAACTTACGTAGCTAATGGTGCCAGGACTGGGGGTGAGCTCAGCCCTTCTACCTTATGTGTAGCATTCCTTTTTTACTACATTGACTCATGCAGGTGTCACCATCCTTGGTCAGTTTGAAAACCACTGTAATTTGTAGTCCTAAGATCCTTGTGGGACTGCCATGTTCCATTAGACTTAACAAAGTTGATGTCATTCCACTCCCCCCAACAAAAACCTTGCAATACCCTGTTGAAAATACACGTCTCTGTGTATGTAAAATATTTCATAAGAATTAACAGTATTTTAAACTTCATATCAATAGGACTGACTTATAAATTAAAAATTTATATTTTCTATAAAAGTGTAGAAAAAAGAAATCACAAGTGATATTCCTTGTACTTTCTTGTATATATAACTCAGCTGCTAGTTTTATTTAAAAGTAATTTTAGTGAGGAAAATAGGAATTTGGTTTTTTTTATGACAAAAGATAATATCAACTAATTTTTTTCCTCAAGTTTGGTAGACAAGCAAGGAAAAATTGTATAATTGGTTAATATATAATAGCAAAGCCATCACAAGTGTTGAATTCAATTCTATTTTAGCACACAAGCCAAAAAAAAAATTCTTCTCTTATTAGACTGGGGAGGGGGTACTTGGGTTAGAGCAGGAAATTCTTGAAACATAAATCATGTTTTCAGGGTAGAGCCAGGGCAGCAGAGGCAACAATAAAACCTTCCCCAGCAGTTGGATGATTTCAGCCTACATTCAGATGCGGTTGTGCAGAGTCCCGTGCTGGAATTTTTTTTATTTGTAGCACAGCTGTCAAATAAAACATTAACTAGAAAATTTGTTCTGTCAAAAAAGGACATTCCAGTGTTTGTGGTAATATTTGATATTAGTGCATGGAGAGGTAGGCTGGTATTAAAGGAAACAGAAAACAAAGGCCAAGGAACACTTATGAGATTATCAGAAAATAATTTACCAAAAGGAGCAGCAGGTATTTATACTGTGATTTAGGAGGACTGAGCCCCCATATCAGAGCAGCAGCAGAGACTGCCGAGTTAGACTGCCTGCCAGAGAGTGGAGGTGCAGATGTTTCCCAGAGTCAAGCCCGCACTGCAAACTGTAGAGAATAAAACTAAGCTGGATTAAAATCGGGAACTCTTTTGGTGTAACATTTATGTCTCCCTCCCTTTTGGGTCTTTCCTCTATTCACTGCATTTAGACGATTCTTTTCATACAGTAGTCGATACCCTTGTGTGTCTGTTCACTTTATTTCAATGTTTGTCTTCCCCATCAGACAATAAAGGCCCTGAGGGTGGAAACCATGTATCCTGGCCACTGAATACTTTTAAAAAACCTAATGCTTGGCACCAAGTACATGCTAGGAAAATACTATTGAACCTCCATAATTTTGATTGTTTTGGGGCAAAAAATTAAAAACAGTAGGAAATTTCAGAAGAAAGGGAAACCCCAGCAACTGAGTATCTGTTCTCCTCACACTGATACTGGAGAAAGAGCAGTTGCTTAGGGAGAAGTGATGTGGCAATCTTGGAAGATTCTGTGACTGCATCCCAGTTTCACAGCTAAATCTTTTTACCTGGTCCCTGACCCAGTTGGAAATTAAGTAAGCTACCCAACAAACAGTTGCTCTCCCTTTGTGCGGCTCCCAGTGCAGCAGGACTCCTGACCCAAGTCTCCTGGGTACCATGGACCTCATTCACCTAGCTGATAGTATTCATACAACCCCACACAGATGCCGGGCTCCAAAACAAGATATAAGCTGGCTTCTGAATAACAGAGCACTGATACAACCTACCTGGCTTCCTTCTGCAGCTAAAACACATGATGATCTCTAACTATCAATGAGAATGCAGCCCGCTGCCCATCTTCTGCATTCTGCCCTGCAAGATATGATATGACCATTTATTACTAAACATCTTCACTTGAAAATGAAATAAAATTTGCTATACATTTTATATTTAATTTGGTCTTTTGACTTCTTTATTTTAAAATACTGAATTCTTTCTAGCATGTGCCTTACTAATATAATCTAACTTTGTAAGTGAAATGTTCTAATGCCAGTTTAGAAGGGTGAAGACATTTAGAAAACCTGTGGCACATTTAACAGTTCAAATACCTGCCTTAACTGAATCTTTGATCTGCTTTAATTGCAGCAGGAAATTTTACCTTACTAACTATAATTTGAAATTGAAATAAGTCTGATTTTTAAGGTTGGTGGTGGGTTCTGCGAGCTGCTTCTCTTGAGCGAAACATTTCTAAATCTCAAGTTTATTGTAATAAGTAGTATTTAAGTGAATACTTCCTTTAACAGATTTAATAATGTTTTGTTTACTTTCCTGAGAAGTAGCTGGTTGGTGTGGCACACCTTTAATCCCAGCACTTCGAGTTCAAGGCCAATCTGGTCTATAGATCAAGTTCCAGGACAGCCAGGACTACACAGAGAAACTCTGTCTTAAAAAACAAACTAGAAAGGAATGGAAGGAGGGAGAGACAGGGGAGGAGAGAGGGAGGAACAAAGGAAAGAAGGTAGGAAGGAAGGGAAAAAGGGAAAAGTTATATAGTATCTTTAGATGCCAGTCTTTAATTGAGAACTTAGGCTTTTGAATATTGTTTTGCATATTCCAGGTTGAAACTATTTTTTTCAGTTTCCTTAACATAATTTTGTCCTACTGACACTCACTTCCTTTGAAAGCCATGCTGTATATTGAGAGTAGACATTCTGTAACATCATTTGTAGACTACAGACTTTTCAAGGGGAAATGTTAACTATAAACTAGGGTGACATAGAGGGCTGCAGTACCTAATTCTTTAGACAAGTCTGTAAATGGTATCACTGTCAGTCAGGCAAAGACTTCACACCAAGGACTTGCTTTTTGTCTGTGACACTGTTAATGTGAACCGAATTCTTCCTGGGTTTGAAGCCCTGCCTGTGTGTACATTGACTATTTTCTTCTCCACTGTTCTCAGTCCTCCCATTAAACCACTGTAATCTTGATTTCATCATCACCCCAAAGGAATTTTCATCACTCAGACAATTAGAGCAAAGAAAGAGCGGCAGGGTTTGAATTGCAATCATGATAAACTATTTGTTTGATCAAAAGTTAGTCCATGTAAGCCTGGTTTGAAAAAGTAGGAACTCTCTTCAAGGTGACCTAAGAACAAAAGAGCTTCCATATATGTCATGAGTTCAGGCGAAGCTGCTAGTGAGCCAAGCTCTGGAGGACTTTCTGGAAGGCAGCAGGCTTTGGTTTTGTGTCACAGAGTAACTCAAGAAAGTGTTAAATGGTTCCAGTGTAAGTGTTCTCCTGGGCTGCTTTAACCAGTAAATATTATTCTTTAGTAATTTATAGTAGCTGTTCATAAGGAGATGGTGTTCTTATACACAAGTATTTGTTGAAATAGTTTTAACATATGCCTTTCAAAAATCTTATCACTATTTAATTGATTTTTTTTCACTATTATAGGTAGCACTTAAAAACAAACAAAATCCCTGCCAGGTCAGAACATTCTAAGATCTGAATTATTATTACAGAACTGTCTTGCAGGTTATATATTTGATAGACATTTGCCTTGTCTTTTAATTGTGGCTTAAAGAAAAAATGTTTTTTTTATTTCAGGAAAATTGATCCAAGTGGTGTTTGGCCATTGGGATGTTGTCACTTGCCTAGCTCGCTCTGAGTCGTACATAGGGGGAAATTGCTACGTTCTCTCAGGGTCACGTGATGCAACTCTTCTTCTGTGGTACTGGAATGGAAAAAGCAGTGGGATTGGAGATAACCCTGGCAGTAAGTACAAACTTTTTAAAGTGAACTTTATAAGTGACGTAGAAGAGCTGCACCGAGGGTAGACACGCTCTCCCATTACCGTAAGAATGAAACTGAATTTCCCAGGATGTTGATATCTAAACTCATTGATAATTCAAGTTCACTTGTGAAGTCCTTGTTTTCTTGTTCTACTCACTCTTGGCTGCACTAGCTGTCACCAACGAAAGCAGAGATGTTATCATGAACAATATAACATGTAACAGAAAAGAGAAAATACATATTTTCTTGTTTATTGAACTCATGTTTTAAAAGAGAAAATTAAAAGTTAAAATTCTGGAAATCTACAACTTTATAATACTTTCATTTACATATTAAAAGATAAAATGGGTCATAAAAGGCCAATATGGAATATTCAAATTGGCTCTTGGCTTTTCAGATGGGAAATGAAAATGTTCGCCAACAGCATTAAACATCTTTCAGAACCTGCTGAAGGCAGTAAAACAACAACAAAAAATGTGTAACCATTTAAAATTGTAATTCACAGAAGGCAAAAAAGGAAACAGCCACCATTAAAACCAATCGCACACAGCTGCAGTCAAGAGATGGCTTTAAAAAACACATTAAGAAGTAGGAAAAACAATTAAAGGGACCACCTGAAAAATGAGAATTTAATTAAAATGATTATGACAACAGAGAAGAGTTTTTGTAAGAATAGCTGTAGATTTCTATTTCATAAGGTAGAGTCTGTGGCTGCTCTTAAATATTTACCGTTTTTTAATTGGAAGCTACATGCGGTGTATTTGGTTAAGGAAAGCTCATGCTGTTACCTGAATACTGGACCTCGTGTCTGGGTGTAAATGTATTTCACCTTGTCATGGTTTCGATTGACTTCTCCAGGTTGTGCAAAAATGGATAATACTTGTGTGACAGTGAACATTTTGTTCAAAAATGCTAATATTTAGTAAAATGCTTTTTTAAAAGCTTTTTTAAAAACTATTTTTTCTTTTCATGTACTTGAGGGATTTTTGCATTGGATCATAAACATTGTATTCAGTTATTATCTAATGGACCTATTTATGACTTTAATCAAAGATAATCGTATATGTGAATAGAACAGAAAAAAATTAAAGTTCTGATACTGTGGGCAATCTGGTCGCCGCAGTTAGAGCAAGCTGTAGTGTGTTTGTACTCTGAGAAAGTGTGCTTTGTGCGTGTCTCCTGCTTACACAGACAGCTCTGTTTTATGTGTACTTACAATTAACTTAAAAGGATAAAAACTCAGGACTTTGATTTTCTGAATATATACTGTGATCCTTTGATTGTCAAGGTGGCCTCTGATGCTTCTCCCTTTCTGGCCTCCTAGAGTGAGTGACTACTTTCAGTTTCTTTTTTCCTGTTTCCCTAAATAAAAGATTAATTATATCAGGCAAATCTAAATTTGATAATACATAAATCTACCACTTTGTTATTTGTCTCTCAGAGAATTTAGGAAAGCCTTTTTCTTGCCTTAAAAAGTTTTGAGCATGTGTAGCAATTTGTACCCACAAAGACAGATATTTGAGTCTTTGTTTTTCACTCAATGTGTTTACCTTCTCTATGTTATGCAGAGTTTCCAGCCTTGTGCATTCTGAGGAATAGCTAAAGCCCTACTGGCTGTTTCTGTATGGAACTATATAGCATTTCAGAGATTTAATTATGTTTTAAAATTAGAAAGCTTAAGGTTTTCAAAGTATTTTATATCTACTTACACATTAAATGATATATGCATGTATTTAAATATGTTGTTTATATAAGTACATTATAAATTGCCCTAAAGATGTTTTTTGTATGTGTGTCATTTAAATAGAGAATCAAGAAGGAGTGATCAAACACTGAGATCCAGAGTAAAAGAGAAATCTAAGTTCCTGACTCTGCTGTGCCCCCCTCCCTCTCTCCCTCCCCCCCTCCTCTCTCTCATCTGTAAAATAAAGCAGTGGTGTTATCAGAGGCACAAGGTGCTCAGCAGACATAAATCACCTCACAAACTCTATCTTGGCTACATATTAAAATGTTACATGCGATGTTCACCATTCTCTCATCTGTAATATAGTAGGCAGCAACACCCAGAAATGCACATAATGAAGAGGAGAAAAAAAACAGAAACACAGAACAACTAATATAATTTTCAGAAAACCAAAATGTATTTTGAATAAATTATATTACCTCATCCTTTCTGGCACTTTTATAATATCTGATGCCCCAATTGAATTTCACTTTAGCTTTGAAGAATGAATCTGTAAGAAAGACAAACAGGTACTTTTCCTTACTCTGAGAATTTACACACATTAGAAAAAAAAGATAAAAAAGCCAATCTAAGCCTTTAAAAACAAATAGCAGACAATCTCAGACAGTTTTACTGTGCATAACTATTGTCAGCTTGTTCAGTTCTCTGATCCTCTGGCGTAGCGAAGGCTGTGAGCAGCCGCTGAAGGCTGAAGCGATGCCTCAGATGAGCGTTCAGACTCCTGCATCCGCGCTGTAGCTCAGAGCCACAGGAAGACCCCTGAGAATGGCCACATGCTCACATACACGCATTGTAGGATGGCTGGTAAATACACAGGAGTACTTCAACCTCAATTTTTTTATTACATGAAAGGAAAAAAAAAGAGGTGGGGGGGCAACCTATTGCTGTTTTTTGCATTTTATAGTTCTTTCAGCAATTTAATTTTGTTTTAGATTTTAAAATTACAAAAATAGTTAGTGATTTTACTTGCAAGGATCATAAGCAGGAGCCAAATACCATTTTCTTCAAATCTAATAATTGTTGCCCTATAGAGTTGGTAACTGTGTAACTGTTTTAACCTATTGTTATACAATGTTAATATGTGTGTTAGTTGGATAAAAATCAGGCTAACTCAACTTGGATGAAACCTATAAATAGTATCATTTGGAGCTTTAAAAATGACTCGGATGTTTTATGAAACCTGTCTAGATCATGCAGCCAAAGGCTTGCTCTCTGCAGACAGGCCGTTTTTCACCTTTGGCTCTATTGTCTTTCGATGGTTATCTGCTGTGGAATGCAGGTTTCCAATAAGAAGGCTGAAAATAGTCTTCCACTTGGTTGTGGATGGTTTTTGTAACATTAACCAGGACGATTTCAATGAGTGGTGTTTTCTGCAGAAAGCTCAGCACCTTGTTAGCTCACCCCAATCCACTGTCTTAGGCCAAGATTCCTCCAGTAAAAGGTTTTCCCTTCAGAACAATGCTGGCCAGACTGCCTTCTCCAAATTCTGCAGAAAGTGTGCTCCTTTGGTGCACTAAATTGGTATTTAAATTAAACACTTCCAACTTTGACATGCTTGTACTTATACAAACAAGATGAAAACATACAACAGTTATTATTTATTCACTAATTTATATTACACTCATAAATCATAAACTGGAATTTTAAAAACTAACCATGTATGCGACACTTTTAGGTTTCAAAGTAATTTTTTTTACAGCCACAGTCTATTAGCTTTTGGAGCAAATGGTTGCCGAATGTGAGGGTGTTGCATAGATTTGTGTGTGCACTATTTCAGTAAAGTACTTTAACATTCTTGCATTCTGGTTTTGATTTGATGGAAAGGTGGCATTTTTTTTTTCCTCTTTGCAATCAGACATGCTAATCTATGTCAGCTTTCTCCTTATGGGAATGGCGTCTATGGAGGGCTGGTGTGGGTTATATAACAACAAGATTCTGTTCTTTAAGAATATTTCAGCACCGTTAATTAGAAAGAAGACTTTATTAACCGTAAGGCTAGCACTAACAGACTGCAGAGCTGTTTTTAAAGTACTGTACACTGCCCTGCCTTCCTGTCTAAAACTTCATTTTGTTACACTCTCATCAATCACTTCAGTCATTACCGTAAATCCTACTGTTGTTAATTTTACTAGAATCACCCTAATGAGACATTCCTGCTATAATTAAAAATGAATTCTAACGTTAAGGCATTCTAAATTTTTTTAATGAATTTAGAATGATCTTACCCTATGACTATAAATACCACTGGTACATACAGACTACTCATCAAGTCCGTAAGAGATGTGGTAGAGTAACACGCCCAGGTGTGAGTTATTTACCGGGTGCCATGCACATGTGCTTATGCATATGTATTTTTTATGCATGTACTTAGGAATCATGTCCTTTTTGTCATAAAGCCTAACATGTTTTACTAAAGCTACTGATAAATTCTTATTCTTTGTCTTGGCAAAACATAGGCGACTGTAGTGCAGTGTCCTCTCTGTAAGTAGGTAGCCTAGAGCACCATCTGCTGGACACAGCTGGGGACGCAAAGCTCTCTAATGGGAAAGGCAGGGCCTGGAAACACTGGTAGATTTTGCCTCTAATTGCCTATGGTAGATTATTCACGGGTCTCAAATGTCAGCATATATATGGTGTGTTAAACCTTGTATGTTTTTAAAACATTCATTCTTCTGTTCCCACCCTAACCTGAAATTGAGACTTTATAATAAATGTTTAAGCAAAGCACAGAATATGCCTAAAAAAACCAAAGCACCACAGTTTATCCTGAGATAAACTCACATCTTAATGATCATAGGTCTTCAGTAAGTTACAGCTGGCAGGAATGGTTTAGGTAATCCCTACACTTGGTTCCTTATACTTTCTGTATGTGAAAGCAGTGCTTGAGGCACATGGCCTTTTATGTGAGGGACAGGGCTGGATCTGATTCTTTGTAGAGGACAACACTTCTTACATATGCCCCGTTCAGACCAAACCCAGTTCCCTCCTGGCCTACTGCACTACCTAATATCTTTCTTTACTTTCTTGTAAAATTCAAAGTACGAGTTTGAAGCAGTATGCTGGCCATGTTCAGGTTCAGGTGACATTAAAAATACGCCTATGAAATTCTCCAGAAGGTCCAGGATGTTTAGTGCTCTGTGATGTAATGCAGGCCCTCAAATTCCAACAAAACAACTCTGTATTTACTTCTTGTAGCTAATAGTAGATGTGGTAAAAGGAATTATATTCATATGGCAAA